GACCAGAAGGTCAAGTGAAAGACCCAAACTCGGTACTTTCATAAATTCCAATACCATATTACTCCAAAACATGCTACATGCATATTCATAAAATAATATTTTATATTGATAATACGATTACAAAGTTGGATACAAACGATCTATTACAAAAAGTTATATATTACATAACTACCCATGATATTGTAATTTTTATACATACTAAAACTTAAATACAAAAGTAATAATATAAACTATTCTATTACTTCCGACAGTATAAAGCTATACTGGATGCTTATTGCCTGCAAATATTAAAAATATTGAGAGGGTAAGCGGTGACGCTTAGTGAGTTCAATAATATATACAATATAACGTTATGCTATATATATATATATATATATATATATATATATATATATATATAGACACACACACACACATCAATATGGCAGAAGTAAAGAGGAACAACAAAGATGTATGTGAATCATGTGATAGGCGTTCATATCAATCCAAGACATTGAATAGGCATTCTTATCAATCAAAGACTTTATTCAAAGATATACAGTCAAGAGACTTAACAATTTCAATATTTGATAAACATCAATAACGCTTTGGCCCAAATGGCACAGAAGACATACAATTTCTGGTAAATATTTGGTTATAGATTTCAGGTATTCACGCCCTGATTAACCATCAACCAATGTCATAGAATAGAAATCATTCTCTTACGGAGACCTGTTCTACATGGTCAGAGGCTCGTACCAGTACCAATGTGAGTCTAAGTCCTTTCACTGATCACATGGTCAAAGGTATTACAATTGCTAGCAAAATAGCGAATAAAATTTAACACGGGAAAATAACCCGGAATAATAATACTGAAAAGTACATAGCACATATAACACATAACATACAATTGTTCATATGTATTGAACTCACCTTGGAATAACCGGGGGTTAAAATAGTAATTTGAACATCACTTTGGCTCTAAATACGACTTTATGGGGAGAAACCGGGGTTTTTAGTTGAAAACCGGACTTTATTCGGGCAGAGTTTCGACTTGAAAATAAGATTTTCTTGGGAACTTCGGGGCGTCGGGGCTTGCTTCAGATGTCGGGAATGATAACGGGACTTCTGGGGGGTTAAAAGTAGCTAAAAATGGGAGTATAGGGTGAAAGATTGTAAAATTTTCCAAACAAAACCGGGCAGCCTCGCACCCTATTTATAGGAGTCCGAAGCTGTTGACTACGTTGGGCGTAGTCTTCATGTACGCGGGGCGTACGAGTCGTGGCAGCAGCTCGGATCTCGGGCTTCTATGTGGCGATCATGTGAAGACAGGTAGACGTGGCTGACTCCAGATCATCTATGTGCAAAGTACGTTGGGCATAACTCTCGCGTACGCGGGGCGTACGGCTCCGAATAATACTTCGATTTTTCATTTATTTTTATTTAATAACTTCAAATTTTCATATCTTTCACATATGAACTCCGTTTTTGACGTTCTTTATATGCACGCGTAGGTGAGAATATACTCTACAACTTTCGTTTAGACTTCATAAACATAGTTTTACTTCATTTCTAGTAAAAACCAACAGTTAGAACTCAACACTCAATAATATATAATATTTCATAATATTATTCACTTTTATAATTTACAATACACAATTTCAAAACGTGTATGTTTCATCAAGTGCGCTTTGAACCTCCTTCGGTCTGGAGCGAAGGATTGGTGGAGGCTGGTTACTAGTTCATGCACTCCGAAGCAGAGAGATGTTGTGTCTTGGAGCAGTTATCAGAGATGTTCCATTCGAGATACACCCCTTTGGTGGAGAGAAAGAGAGAGAGAGAGAGAGAGAGAGAGAGAGATAGAGATAGAGATAGAGAGAGAGAGAGAGAGAGCGAGAGATGGATATAGAGAGAGATTAGCCCAAGAGTAATTGGGCTTGCGGCAAGGTACTAAGTTGATGACAGAGATCACCAATACGTTCACCGAGAGAGTGTTGTTCTCCCCTAAGTTTGTTACTTTTGAGCAAACTCAGATGACCCGGTACTTGAGCATGCTCAAGACATATATTCGTCAGTTTGTGTCCACCCAACGATATGGTTCACTTATTGAGTTACAGGAGGCCGTGAGGTGATGTGAGATTGAGATGAAGCTCTAGACGTGGTAGCTGAGGCAGGCCCCTGTGCAGTCGTAGCCTGCAACAAAGTGGTTCAAGGTCGCTGATGTGAGATATAGGAGTCAGAGGAGTTGTACTTGTGGCAAGTGCGGCAAGGTGCATGAGGGTTCCCGTCGATCTACTTCTGGATGCCACAAATTTGGCAAGGAGGGGTACTTTGCGAGGGATTGTCTCTAGCCGTCCACAATACTGAGCACCAGGATTTGCTACCATTATGATTAGGTTGGCCATGTGAAGGTCAATTGTCCATTGCTCGCCGCCAAGCCAGCATAGGCCCCGACACTAGCCACCTTGGGGATTAGTAATGGGCACCAGGGTAGGGCGGAGCCCCCAAGGACCTGGAGTCGTGCTTTTCAGCTCTCTGCCGAAGAGGCCAAGGCAACGCCAGTCATCGTGAACGGTATGTTTCTATTTATTATTCTGTCAATTATATCATGATATGCTTATGTTTATGTTTCTGATAGGTACATTCTTAGTGAACTCTTTGCCTGCACTTGTGTTATTTGACTTGGGCGTGAGTCGGTCCTTTGTGTCTCGATATTTTAGTAGGGATTTTGGTATGACCGTTAGTGATTTGGAGTGTCTGTTGTTGGTTTTTATTGCTAACAAACACGGGGTTTTTGCATCCAGAGTGTATCGAGGTTGTGTATTGGAGATCTTCAAGGTGCCTTATCCGATCTATTTGATTTTGATCCCCATGGGGGATGTGTGTGTGATAGTAGGGATGGATTGTCTTAGCAGGTTTGGTTCTATGATCAATTGCGAGGTATAACTCATTAGTGTGGGGGTGGGCTTGCGTGTGGTGGTGGCGGTGGGGGTGGGCATCGATTTTGGCATGGGTTTGTTAGTGTTGGTGTTAATGTGGATGTGGACGTGGGTAGGTAAAGTTAGGTAATATGGTGAGGGTGGATGGGTGGGGTGGCGTAGGGTTGATGATAATATGTTTTGATTTGATGAATCATAAGTATAATAAAGAGAAGCTAAGATGACATTTTTATCATTAAAGAAAAAATAAGAAATGTAATCTAAAATATTTAACTTCAGCTAAAAATGACAAATTTTTTTGGATAAAAAATTTAATGGAATCTAAAGAATTCAAATTACTTTTATTTTGTCAACCAAACACACGTTTTAAAGAAATTTCATTCAAATTCTTTCAAACTTAGAACATAAGATCGTGGATAATATGTCAGACTACTATTTAAAAAAAAAAATTGAGTAACAAACTATTTAAAATTTTTAAAGAGTAAATTACACGAGTTATCCTTGTGGTTTATGATAATTAGCGTGTTTGGTTCCTTACTCTGTGTAAAAAACGAGTTATGTACTAAATGCACAAATTACCCCAAAACATAAGGACCATTTGTGTAACTTATTTTATTTTAAAATATCATTAAATTAAATAAATGATGTTGGAAGGTACCAAACTTTTATTTTTGTTTTTTAAACATAATTGTAACCCAAAAATAATAGGTTTTTCACTCTTACAATGATATTTTAAAAACAAAGATAAAATTAAATTACATGTGTATCTAAATCTACGATGGGTCTCGGTGAAACTGATGAAGGTTTTCATGTGATATTATGGTAAGGCACAAGTTGATGATGACATTGAAAGTGTGTATTTATTAAGATTTAGATGTGAGTTCTAGTGTTTTGACGATGGATTTGTGGCGAAGATCCAAACAGTTTTCTAATTAGATTGAGGTTGTAGTAAGAGTGAAATGAAATTAAACATATGTATTATTATTTCATTAGTAGCTATTTAGGAAATGGATTAATGGAGTATATCTCTTTAATTTAAACCCACACATGAAAGGAGAGAGATGTGACTTAGAGTAAAAATGTTGAAAATATGCATTTTAGACTCCAAAATCCGACAATGATATTCGAAATGGTATACTTCGTGGACATACTACAAAATACTGAAATAGTGACTTTTTGTTTATATTGAATGAAATATAACAAGTAGAGAAACAAGAAATGATATTATGTTATAGTAGAAGGTTTGAAACAAAGCATTTAGATTTTGAAAATTGATAAACATTTTTGAAATGCAAAAGTTACATCATAAACATTTACCAAAGATGAAATACATTGTAATAAGGACATAAAACTATCATTTCGTTGAAAAAACGATGATCCAAAACATTTCAGAGACAAGAGTCAAGAAAGTTTTTTAAAAAAATGTAAGATGTAAATGTAAAAAACATATACTATATAATATATGGAGTTTGAAATATGAAATGAACTTATTTCAGACAATGAAATGTCATTTCGGTAAAAAAAAATAGTTCATATATATATATATATATATATATATATATATATATATATATATATATATATATATATATATATATATATATATAGAGAGAGAGAGAGAGAGAGAGAGAGAGGGAGGGAGAGAGAGAGACAGAGAGAGAGAGAGAGATGAATGATCATTTGAGAACTCAAAGTTTCCCGAGAACTAAAAGAGGACCGTTAGATAAAAAAAATGATGGTCAGGATGTATTGTGACATTTTTTGTAAATAAATAGATCAATAAAAGGACGGGATAACAATAAAGTGACCCCATTAAGGGAACAAATATATCAGATCCCTCTTCAATGAAACTACACACCGACTATCGTACCTTTCCGGTGGATGATCTCTCTCTAAAACCTGCACCACCACAATCAACTCCACCAATCTCCCCTAAAAAAACATCACTACCATCGCCTACTCCAAACCTACACCATCGTCGCCTCCTTTAAAACCTACACCACAATCACCTCGCATAATCTATTCGCCTGAATCGTCACATCTGTTCCGAAATCCACATCAACGAATGACAGTGAAACATCGATGCCATCTCCAACAATTGCAATGACCATCCCTTTCGCCTGTAAGTCTTTAATTCTATTGGCTTTCCCTATTGGATCTATCTCCACAAACACGTTGCTTCAACTGCAATTTTGGTATGAAAAAACACCTTGTAGAGACAACTACTCTTTTTCCCTCTTCGATACATTTACGGAACCAAAATTGAAAAATTAGGTCAAGCAAAACGGAAAATGAAGAAAGTCGGAGCCAAGAAGAAGAGGATCTGACGATCCTCCCCTGAAATCGCTAATGTACTCGGAGATGTAAACATCTTCATCGCTTTCGGAGACTTCGTCGCCTTCAATCAAGTCTAGGATCAATATGAGGTAATTACCTACTTTCGTATCTCTCTAAATCATTTATACACTCTGTGTCGAATCATCCGATGGAACAATACACATGTTCTTAGTCGATTACGTCTCCTGAGGACTCAGAACACTTGTTGAGAAATACTCCGAAATCGTGGATGACAAACGGAATTGAATTGGAGAAGGTGCGATTCTGATATACTAATCGTGGATCTGTTTAACTGTTACTTTTAGTCCAAAGATTAAAAGCAAGATTCCTCCAAATATACAGATTTACATCTACCATGACTTTTAACATGATTGAAATTTATCCAAATGTAGCTCAAGGAATATATCGATGACACTGAAGATCTCATCAACATTAAGATTGTAAGCAAACCATATTCCTATGGGTGTGAGGTTTATCTCTTTTTCATGATTATTGATTCAAAAGGAAGTTTATATTATAATTAAATAGTTTTATCTCTTTTTCTTAATTCTAATGGTAGAATAATTATGTTCTTGAAACGTTTATAATTATACAGAAAAATACTTTCATTTATAGTATGATTCTTTTGTTGTGTGGGTAGTTTTGGTATGATGGAATCAAGGAAGGAATGGAATGGTTCATTCTATTCAAATGAAAAAGGTTGTTTTTTTTTGCCCGAGGGAATGGAATGGACCATTGTGATTCCTATCATATTGTTAACTTTCATTTTGTAGCAAAGGAATGTATTTTATTTAATCTCTATCATGAAATGGAATTTAAAAGAAATGCAATATTAGCTCTTTTTTGTTTATGTAAAATTTTAATGGTGTTGTAACAAATTGAATCATTTTGAAAATTCATTTCTATGTTTAACCATCTTTTATAATGTATATCATGCTTACTTTTTAAGTTGATCATCATGTATAATATAATAAAGAAATATATATATATATATATATATATATATATATATATATATATATATATATATATATATACAGATAGGATTTTATTAGTTTCATTGAGTGAGTCAATCCTTGAGACTACTTATCATACAGAAAAACTCATTGTTGTCCCTACTTTCAAGAAATGAATAACCCTTAAGCTTCTTGAAACTCACAGATTACCCCTAACCTTAATGAATTTGATAATTTATCCAAACAAAGTTCATGAAAAATGCATACTCCAATAGGATTTCAAAGGTTTACAAACTGAATTATATGTGATTCACATGTAAATCACATATGAATTATATGCGATTCACATGTAATTTACATATGAATCACATCTAATTCACATATAAATCCCAATCACAAGTGAATCACATGTAATTTACATGTGATTAACATGTAAATTACATATGATTCACATGTAAATCACAAGTGAATCACATGTAAATCACAAGTGAATCATATATGAATTACATGTGATTCACATGTAAATCACATGTGATTCACATGAAAATCACATGCGATTCACATGTAAATCACAAGTGAATCACATATGAATTACATGTGATTCACATGTAAATCACAAATGAATAACATATGAATCACATGTAAATCACAAGTGAATCACATGTGATTCACATGTAAATCACAAGTGAATCACTTTTGATTATGAATCACAAATAAATCAAAAGTGATTCACATGTGAATCACAAGTGATTCACATGTGAATCAAAAGTGAATCACATCATCAAATATGAATTATGTGTATATGCACACATGCATTTTTGTGAGTGTTCTTGTACTAATCAATTTTTTTTTTTTAAATTTTCTTGTAGATTTGGAAAATTTTGTGGAAAATATTGAAGAGGTGAGAAGTGATAAATTGAAGAAAATATGAAAATCTTGACACGAAGACATGAAAACGTTTTGAAATTTTGTAGCATTTTTTGTTTCTTATATTTTATTTTGTATCGAATAAAATACTTATATTATTGTGTTTATATATTAGTAAATACAAATGAGTTTTTTGGTGATTTACTTACGAATATTATATTTTCTTTTGTATAAGAAAAATTCATATATGCACTTTAAAATATATGCATACATACACCTAAAATATTGATTTTTGGTTAAAAAAATTATAGTTTTTTTTTAATTATTCTAGTTTTTTTTTTTTTTTTTTTTTTTTTTTTTTTTTTTTTTTTTAATTTACAGTTTATAAAAAACAACAATTTTTATAAAAAAGTATATATTTTTCAATTTTTTTTTAAAAAAAATCATGTTTTCTAAAAAAAAGTTACAAAATTTGCATTTGTTAAAAAAAATCAAAAATTATTATTTTTTAAAAAATTCAAAATTTTGATGTATTATGTTAATTTTTAGACACTTTTATTAATATTTCCAATAATACACAAAAAAATTAAACACTAAATTAGATTGGTAATATAATGATCATGTCCTTAATGAGATAATTTTGATCAAATGTTCCACCTTTAGTTCTCGGATTCTCGAGAAACTATGAACTCTCAATCGATATCAACCCTATATATATATATATATATATATATATATATATATATATATAGAGAGAGAGAGAGAGAGAGAGAGAGAGAGAGAAAGAGAGAGAGATTACACTTTAATCATAATCATAAGTCACATGAAAAATAGCAAAAATTTTATTTTGACATAGTGCCTTTTTTTTTTGAACAAATTGGTTACGAGAAGTATAGAGAATTATTAATTTGATTGATATTGTAATAAAACTATAAATATAATAATATATTTGAAAAAAAACAAAACGTCAAAATTGAAAATTTCAATAAACATAATGACTTCAATTAACGGCTAATTTGGGAACAAAAACAATCAGAATAAAAAAACTTAATATACACCTTTTTTTTTTTTTTTTTTTTTTTTTTTTTTTTTAAATGGAAGAAGGGATAACATAGAAAGGGAAATGTTGCAAATTTGGAAATATTCTGGCGCACTTTAAGATGAGTACATCACATGCTCTAACATGCGCAACTTTCCTCTTTCGGTTGCATAAATGATAAAACGGGAAGAGAACACGCACACACGTATCTCTCTCTCTCTCTCTCTCTCTCTTGCTGGGGCTTTCGGGAGGTCAAAGACTTCGCATCCCATTGACGTTTACAGGTTCTACTGCTAATAAGTGTATTGAATTCGTTGTTATAGTTGTTTGAATAGAATAAATTTTGCCCTAAATTTGTAGTTCCCGTCATAACAGGCCCATGGGCAAACCAATTCTAGGGTTTTAATCGAATATAACAACAAATCATCTGTGCCCGTTTAGTATTTGTGAGTACTTTTTGTGGTGTCTGCTGAATGATTCTGTTATGCTTGTGATTGTTATTGATAGTAATGAGGGACGGGGAAATACCAAATTGGCTCAAGGAATTGCCATTGGCACCCGTATTTTACCCAACGGATACGGAATTTGCAGACCCAATTGCTTACATCTCCAAGATTGAGAAAGAAGCTAGTGCATATGGTATATGTAAAGTAATTCCGCCATTGCCAAAACCTTCAAAAAAGTATGTTGTAGGTAACCTAAATAAGTCTCTTCTCAAGTGTCCAGAATTGGGGAACGATGTAAAACTGAATAATGTGGAAACAGTAAATGATGGGGAGGTTCGTGCAGTGTTTACAACAAGGCATCAAGAATTAGGTCATAGCAGTGTGAAAAGAACAAAGGAGGTTGGAGAAGGGACATGTCAGCCTCCTCCTGTGAATAAGCAAGTATGGCAAAGTGGGGAAATTTACACATTGGAACAGTTTGAATCCAAGTCTAAGAATTTTGCTCGAAGCCATTTGAGTATGATTAAAGACGTTTCTCCATTGGCTATAGAGTCACTTTTCTGGAAGGCAGCTTGTGAGAAGCCTATATATATAGAGTATGCTAATGATGTGCCTGGATCAGGATTTGGTGAACCAGTGGGGCCATCTAGATTAGTACATAGGCATAGGAGAAGGAGAAAGACATTTGATAGAAACAATAAAGATTGTTCTGATGTAAGATCACAAGTAGAAGATAATAAAAGCAACAACTGTGAAAACCAGAAAGGTGAAGAATCTATAATAAGGTGTAGTAGCTCTAGTTCTTCAGTAGATATGTTAAAGAAAGAATCCAGTTCCAGTTCACTGAATATGTTGTCAGATCGTGTTGCCAGACAAAGGGTTTCAGATGAGATTGAAGGGACTTCAGGATGGAAGCTTTCCAATTGTCCTTGGAATTTACAAGTAATTGCAAGATCTCCTGGATCTCTTACACGTTTCATGCCAGATGATATTCCAGGTGTCACTTCTCCCATGGTGTACATTGGCATGTTATTCAGCTGGTTTGCATGGCATGTTGAAGATCATGAGCTTCACAGCTTAAATTTCCTCCACATTGGCTCTCCCAAAACCTGGTATGCAGTCCCTGGGGATTATGCATTCACATTTGAGGAAGTAATCCGTTCAAAGGCTTATGGTGGAGGTGTAGATCGGTTAGGTATGTAAAATGCTTACTCTAGTCTTGATTATATCATTGCAATGCATCTCTCACCTTCTTAAACCACTTTTAAGAAACAAAAATGAACTTATATAATGACTATTTGTCGACATGGAATGTCTAGGGCTTCAAATTACTTCTTTAGCAATTCATAAAGCTCCTGCCATTTTTGTTTAACAGCTTCTCTAACACTCTTGGGCGAAAAGACTACCCTTCTATCACCTGAAACTGTTGTTGCATCTGGCATTCCATGTTGCAGGTGTGTTATTTCTTTGTTCAAAATCCATGCTTTTATGCCTTGCACTTCACATTCTCAACTTCCTTTGGAAAATCTCAAACTAATTGTGTAAAACTTATTGTTGAGATTTGGGACATTCTACTGAAAATTTCTTCTGTTTCATGCTTGCAGGTTAGTACAGAACCCTGGTGAATTTGTAGTGACCTTTCCAAGGGCTTATCACATAGGATTCAGCCATGGTAATGTTTTGCAGATTTTTTTTTTTTTTTTGTGGTTTGATATATTTATACTTTTATAGACTCTAATATCAAATGATTGTCTTTAAAGGTTTCAATTGTGGGGAAGCTGCTAATTTTGGAACCCCAAAGTGGCTTTCAGTAGCTAAAGAGGCTGCAGTGCGCAGAGCTGCGATGAATTTTCTTCCTATGCTTTCACATCAACAGCTGCTTTACCTACTGACCATGTCATTTATTCCAAGGTGAGCTAGAAATCTTTCAAAGTCTTTTGACATATGAAGCTAGAAAGAGTGATTCCAAATATATCAGGAGGGGTAAATTGGTAATATTGTTTAAATGTATTTTAATGGCAGGGTGCCTAGGTCCTTGTTACCAGGGATAAGAAGCTCGCGTTTAAAAGATCGTCAGAAAGAAGAACGTGAGCTGTTAGTGAAGAAGGAATTCATTGAAGATATTCTCAAAGAAAACAAACTGTTGACTTGTATTCTCAATAGATCTTCCTCTTATCATGCAGTCCTATGGGATCTTGAATCCCTCTCACCATCTGTCATTAATAATAGTACAATCATCAATCCACAAACTGAAAGCTTTCATGGTGAAAAAGACAATGAAAAACGTGTTCATGTAGAGGATGAGGACATGTCGAGTGATTTTCAAATTGATTCAGGGACATTACCCTGTGTGGCTTGTGGTGTTCTTGGTTATCCTTTCATGTCTGTTATACAACCATCACCAAAAGTGGTGTTTGATAACATTCCAATCAAGGATGATCATCCAAATATTGCATCTTCAGAAACTCAAGTGGTTAATGCCAAGGATGAGTCTGTTGAAGCTTCAACATGTTCATCTAAAGTGAATGTTGACAATGGATGGAACATGTGTAATGGGTATTTAAGACCTAGAATATTCTGTTTAGAGCATGCAAGCAAAGTTGAAGAGCTGTTGGACTCCATAGGTGGAGCAAAACTGCTTATAATATGCCATTCAGGTCATCATCATTCACAGTTGTCTCTGTTTTTTTTCTTTAATGATTCGATTTTTTTTTTTTGTGTGATTTGAAACTAACTTATGATATACTGTTTGTAGATTTTCTGAAAATTAAGGCACAAGTTTCAGCCATAGCAGAGGAGATTGGCAGCATGTTTAGATATGAAGATGTTGAATTACATGATGCCAGCAGGGATGATTTGGAGGTGATAAATCTTGCAATTGACAATGAGCAAGAAGATGAATGTTTAGAAGACTGGACACTGAAATTGAATGTTAATCTTCGACAATCTGTTAAAGTCAGCTGCCCTAAATCATCACCTGATAAGATGATAAATATAATACATAATGCTTTGACTATAGATGTTCTGTTTGCTGACACAAGCCCCATCATCTCACAAGCAATGATTCAGTGGCAAGCTACAAAGTCTCGGTCAAACAGAAAGTCAAACCGTTGGATCAAGAAATCATCAGAGACTGTTTCTGTCACAGAGGATGTGAAATCGAAAGAGAAGTCATCTGAAGCTCAAATGCCTAAAAAGGAAGAGAAGTTTATTCAGTATTCAAGGAGAAGCTTCAAGTCAAAGCCACAAGATTCTGTAAACAAAAATCATGAAAAAAACACAAACAAGGTTATTTTGGATGATTCCATTATTCCATCACAAAAGCAGAAACAACAAGGTTATGAAGAAAAATGTGGTGTTGAAAACTCGTCAGGTTCAGTGTCATGTGCGACAACTATTGAAAAAGATGAGGAAATGAGTATGCAAAATGAGCAAGGTTCTGGAAAAGAGTGCAGCAGAGAGGAGGTTGTTAATGAAGATGGTTTGATGGAAACGGATCCAAGTATTAGTATCGGGTCAAAGAAAAGTGACGAAAATACCCCTCGTGTATCAAGTTGTTTCACTTCAACAAGTGGAAGCAAAAGAAGGAAGACAGATTTTGATGGATTTATAAGAAGCCCATGTGAAGGATTAAGACCGAGAGGTGGAAAAGACACAAACGCAGAAAAAGCTTCCACGAATGTGAAAGAAAAATCTTCCAGAAACAAGTCAAAGTCTTGTTCGAAAGTCAAAATCACGGAAAAAGAGGAGCAAGGGTCTGGGTCCCATTCCTATAGATGTGATCATGAAGGTTGCAAATTGAGGTTCGGGAGTAAAAGAGAGGTAGGGTTGCATCGAAAGAACAGGTGTCCTCATGATGGATGTGGGAAGAAGTTCAGTTCGCATAGATACGCAGTGCTCCATTTACGTGTCCATGAAGATAGCAGGCCTCTTAAGTGCAGTTGGAAAGGTTGCAAGATGACATTCAAATGGGCCTGGGCCAGGACTGAGCATTTACGGGTCCACACTGGTGAGAGGCCCTACAAGTGTACGGTTGAAGGTTGTGACCGTACCTTCAGGTTTGTGTCTGATTATAGCCGCCACAGAAGGAAAACCGGCCATAATCTGCATGTAAAGTCAAACTCTTGAAATTTTTTAAATTGTTTGTTTTTTTTTTTTTTTAAACTTTTATACAGTTCACTTGGGTTAGTAAGTTTTATAAAAACCGAAAAGAATCATTTCGTTGTTTGGGAACTATGCTTGGTTGGTGGGTTTAGCGGAAACCAATTTATTTATTTTATTTTGAAGACACTTTGTTTATTGGTAAGGTTAGGGTTAGAGTGGTAATTACCTGGGCAGTTAATCACACGCTATAGCGATTCACGGATGACGGATGTGTAAGAACGTGATTTACCAAATGGCGGTAGCATCATTAGTGCCACGATTTTCCACAATTTGTTGCGATTATGGCAACCGCTATAGCAGCACTATAACCGTTATAGAAAAAAAAAAAAAAAAAAAAAGCCCATTTTTGGGCTATCACATAAAAAAACATTTTTGTACCATTCTATTAAAACCATGTGATGTCTTGGTAATTGTGTTGAAAACTTGAAGTGTTGTATTGCTTAATCATTTTCTTTGTTAAATGTGATTGTGTTGAAGTATGATTAACATGCTAAATATTATTTATGTTTTCTTGTTAACTGTGTTAACGTATGATTAACTTTAACATTGGAAAAAAAACCCTGTGAAATAAGATTAACTAATTATGATACGTGAAGTATTGTAGTTATACTTGTCAAAATTTCAATATCGTCTGGTTGCTATTTGAAATTACGGTGGTATATTTTTATGCATAATTTTCATTATAAATGTATATAGAACTTATATATTAGAATATTAATACTATATTCCATATACAGAAAAAGACAAGTTGTTCGTTGCTTTCTAGTTTCTAATTACGTTTGTTATTTGACTGTTGGGCTTATTAAATAGAAAGTGTATTCGGCTAATTAAAAAACAAATTTAATGTTGAAATAGCCAATAATCTTTTTTTCTTTGTTAAAGTAACCCAATATGGACAAATTTGTAAAAGCTGGTGTAACGTTACTATAGCGATGATGAGATTCACGGTAAATAGCGGTCAATAGCGTCGATGATAATGCCACTACTATTCCAAAACTCTATTTTGAAAATAATAGTTCTAACCTCCGTGAACCGTAATAGCACGTTATTGATAGCATAAGTGAAATATAATTATGGTAAATAGCACAAAAGACACTAAGTTTGCACAAAAATTCTAATTTGACACTGTTTTTGTTTCATCTGAAATTTGACATTGTGTTTTCCAGTTTTTTACAATATTGATCACTTGACCGGTCAACCAGGTTACTTGCTGACGTAATATCATTCTTTCCTATTACAGTATTAAAACTTTGATTATGATATATATATATATATATATATATATATATATATATATATATATAATATATATATATATTCTACAATGCTACAGAATATAAAAAAAAACACTATACCACAGTTAAAACTGTAAAAATACCTAGAAAATTATAAAGCATCTATATAATTTATTCTGAAATACTTTTAGTTTAGAAAATAACATAAAAAGTCTTTTGGTCATGAATATTTAAAATAGCATGATAGGCTTAGTGGCAAATTTAAAAAAAAAAATTGATACTAATACTCATATTTGATAAATTCAAGTCAAGTGCATGAAGGCAAGATAAAAACAATTGTGTCCTCAATCAAAACATAGATGCAACGAAGTTATTTCTATAACAACTTTATCATATTAAGTTTTCAGTTTTAGTTGGATTTCCTTTCCAAGTTCTCCCTTTGTTGGCTTTGAGAGCACCAAAGCACAACATGTTGGCCTCTCTGTAGCACCCACATTGGCTAGATCCTGCAACCACCATACAATTTTTAAGGGCAAAATGATTATTTAGTCAAGTCACATGGTTTATTCGGTTTAAAAAAAAAAAGAAACAAAACTTATGTATATAACAATTTATCCATAAAGTCAACATTACCCATTCAACCACTTTATCTATACAGGACTTAATATGGTAAGCTATACACACATAAGCAAACATACTTGTGACTTTTAGGTCTTTCTAGAAACTCATGCCAGGAAGTATAACCATCACATAATTTCATACTAAATCCCGAGCCTCTTGTAGGAATGACAATGGCAATTGGTTGTTGAGCATCAGCAACTCAACTACAATATTTTATGTGAGAATCATGTTATTTGAAAATATAAAAATAAGAAGCTTAAAAGAGTGTGAAAGTCATTTTTAATGTGGGAAATGAGAACAACACATGTAAAAATGAAGGCTTCATACTAAATTTTAGCATTTCGGACTAATTTTATTTCGTACTAAATTTTTGAAATTTGTTTGGTGCAAATGAAAAACAAATGAACATTATATGTTTACTGAAACCCAAAATGCTGCTCATTCCAAAAACGGTCGTTGTATTTGCAAATGCCAAGATTTAAGTCATTTTCCTATATCTTCTCAAATGATGTTGTCATTTTTGTGAATATCCATATATCTTCTACTGAAAATGAAATTTTGTGTATTGGGTTTGACTAAAAATGATGAAAGACATAATATTTTGGTTAAATAATTCCATATTTGTTGATCCTTTAACAACACCCTTCTAGGATAGCTAGTCGTACTAGTATAATACCAAAACTACCATGAAAATTGCTATTTTCCAGATATAAATGTCATAAATCATAAAGATATATCTATCATCTATCTAGTTTATTCTGAAACACTGAATCTGTTTAAGAATATAGATTAACTTTTTTGGTTAAAAATACCAGATTGATGTGCTTGTTTTTGTTCATGAATATTTAAAATAGCATGACCGGCTTAGTGACAAATTTAAACAACTGATACTGATACTGATACTGATAAATTCAAGTGCATGATTTAAGTTAAGTAAGGAAAGATACAAACAATTGTATTCTCAATCAAAATCAAAACAAAGATGCAGCAAGTGAAGTTATTTCTGTAGCAACTTCATCATATTCAGTTTTGAGTTTTTGCTGGATTTCCTCTCCAAGTTCTCCCTTTGTTGGCTTTGGGAGCACCAAAACACAGCATGTTGGCCTCTTTGTTGCACCTGCATTTGCTAGATCCTGCAACCACCATATCATACCATTTTTCTCATGTCCATGTCCATGGCCGAGTCTAAGATAAATATAAGAATTAAGAAGGAAAACTTACTTCTTTTGATGTCACATACACATATGGTATCTCTGCTTCTTCACATAGAATTGGAACATGAGTTATCACATCGATTGGAGTTATGTTTCCAGCAATAACACACACCCTGCATTCATCAATGGATTCACCTTGTTGTTATCATGTAGATTTGTAAATTAAATAACAAGTAATGATCTATAACACATTAAGAGCTAATCGATCTAACTTCATACAATCAATTTTTGCATAAACAAATCTCGCTAACTTACCCTTTATTACCGCGTCTGATGCTCTTCACGACCTCCTTGACTCCTCTTTTCAAGCATTTGTGTTCGGCAGCTAAATAACATCAATACATAAACATACACAGCTAAGTAAGTTTCACCATGTTCGTTGAGTTTAATTAAAGAAGAAAATCAATGTGTGCGAGATTGTATGATTGATTGTACCTTTGCGGACGAGTTTGAGGGTACGTTTGGAGAGTTTTTTGCCAGCAAGGGGTTTAGCGATTGGAGCTAAGGCCTGAAGCTTCTTCTTTTCCTTCTCCTTGTGTGCTGATTTCTCTACTTCACTGTCGCTTCCTCCCATCGCTTTTCTTATGAGTCGAAAAATAAAGGAGGCAAAACTAAACCAACAGAAGTAGGGTTTATTTATTCGCAATTTTGATTTTAGGGTTTAAGGAGGTTGTAAAAGATGAGGGGAAGCAAATGCTTGTCATGTGCTCCGCACGTGTGTTTCGTTCGCCTACAGTTATCTTGGGCTTACAGTAGTAGTAGCCCGGCCCAGGAAAAGTAATGACAGATTTTTATAGTAATTAAAATACTTAGGGTAAATTACACCAATCGTCCCTCGAGTATGTATCCAAAAGCACGTTTGGTCCCTATTTTCAAAAATTAACTCGGACCGTCCCTCATTTGGTTAAAAGTTGCATGCTTCGTCCCTCGCAGATATAAAATGACTATCTTGCCCTTTTCTTTTTCTTTTTCATTTATTCTTCATTTGTTTATAATTTATATACTATTTTTTTTGTTAAGTATAATTTTTAGAAAATGGAAATTCCACTTAAATTCGTTCCGAACCTTCTCACCATCAACGACCTCTTACAACCAGTCACTTCTGACACCAGCCACCTCCGGCCACCAGCTAACTCCGACAAACACCACCATTCATCTCCAAAAATAAAAAATAAACCTGGAATTAAACCCTAAAACAAAACCCAAATCCATACCCTAGATCTACAAATCAATTAAATGAAGAAGAGAGATGAAAGGATATGAGAAACACTGTGGTCGGACACCAAGCGTTCAATCCCTTATCCTACCATTGCCATGAAACCTGAAACCTGGAACTCCGGTTGGTTTCTCCCCAAACTTGTTTGAAAAAAAAAATCCCAAAATTTGTTTCAATGAGGAGAGTTGATGTGATCTATTCGGACATTGTTCTTCTTCCACCAGGCATCGTCGTTCCCCTCCCTTTCCTTCCTCTTTGTCTCGAAACTCAAGGAGCTGACGATCTATTAGATGATGGTGTAGATATGAGACAATGGTGCCGATGGCTTACAGGTAGAGATCGACATTTTCAAGTGTTTCCGGCGAAGAGATGGTGACGATGGCTTACAGGTCTAGGGTTTCCGGCGAAGAGATGGCGAAGAGATGGTGACGATGGCTGACGATCTAGGGTTTCCGGCGAAGAGATGGTGACGATGGCTTACAGGTAGAGATCGACATTTTCAAGTGGCGATGACAATGTTGTAAGTGGCTTTAGACGTTGATGGATGTAGAGAGAAGTTTCATTGGAGGTTAGGGACGATGATTGGAATAGCCACCTGAGGGAGTGGTCGTCGGAGGGAGTAGCTGCCAGTGATGGTTTAAGGATGGTGGTTTTGGGTTTCTTAGAAGAGGTTAGAGACGAGAGGAAAAGAAATATCGATAGAGGAGACGATGAGGTGGGTGGGAAGGTAGGACAGGGGCCTTTTTTTCTTTTTTAAATTACTAATAATAATAATAACATTAAAGTTAATGGAAAACAAATGCACAAAGGGCATTATAGTCATTTCAGATCCAGCAAGGACTAAAACCGCAACATAATAATTTGTTAGGGACGAAGCGTGCAACTTTTAATGACACGAGGGACGGTCTGAGTTAATTTTTGAAAATAGGGACTAAACATGCTTTTGGGCACATGCACGAGGGACGATTGGTGTAATTTACCCAAATACTTACTACTATTTTATTAGAAAAAAATGTAAAAATTGTTAATGCGATGTGTATTTTTTTTTTCCGTTTCAAACCCCAATTATTTTGGATTATTTAGTTTCGTTGTTGCGTGGTCCATCTGAAAATTGAAATGCCTGTAATATTTTGATGTATTTACTTTTCATTTGCCATTAAAAAAAATTATTTTTCATTTTCACATCACCTAGTCTTTTTTCCCTTTCCCCATTTCCATTTTAGATCTGCAAGTGGCTTCTCTCTCTCTCTCTCTCTAACCTACAACCGAAGGAAAAACACACAAACACACCCACAAAACTACACTCGAAGGAAAAACACCTCACACACACATTGGATGATATGAAGGCGATGGATATTGTCAAAAAATCCCCATAAAAAATTAGTGAGCAAACAAAATAAATATTGGGTAGCAAAACTTACAACATCATCTTTCCCGGTGTTTGACTTTCCTGAACCAGTGTCATTTTTCTCATTAGTTGAAGCGCATACCCCTTAGTTAACTCTACTAGAAGCACCCGTTGTCCCTCCACGAGCAATTATTCTACCTTTTGTAGCAGAACTCCAAGCCTAAACAATATCTTGATTTGCCTTTCTTGTACCTCCTCAACCAGCTCTTGCAGATATTCTATTTGAAGTTTCTCAATTTGGTGGTCTCCATACATCAGGATTATCCATGGAAGGAGCATTAGAAGAAGTTGGTTATTCATCTAATGGTTGAAAAACAAATGATGATGTTTTGTAGAAATTGGAGGTGAAGAAGATATCCTACCCATTATAGTCCCCTTCAATGACATCTTCTCAACATCAATATGTGTTACAACCTTCTCTACTTGGCACGAATCATAGGATCATCAAAGGACCTTAAGTGTCTTCTAGAAAAAACGTAGTTTTTTTTTTGTCTCAGACAGTATCCAAATAATTATTTTTCATATTATAAGTGAACTAAGAATGGTTGAAATCTATATCTCAATCTATATTCCATGGGTTGAGAAAATGGATTTGCAGGTGTAGTTTCAATGCTTTTGGATGTGAGGGAGAAAGACAAAGGTGTGTGTGTGTGTTTTTAAGAGAGAGAGAGAGAGAGAGAGGTGGGTCCTAATATTTATTATTAATAAAACTTTAAATTAAATAGTAAAAACATTAAAAATATATCAGGAGGGTATTTAAGTCTTTATAGTTTTTCGATGGACCAAAACCACAAGCAAACTTGTTCAAAATAACCATCAATCCAAAAAGTTAAGGTTTTGACCAAAACCAGAAAAATGCATAATACAGGAACCATTTTGCAGTTTTGTCAATTTATTTTGATTATTATAGACATTAAATTTTAATTCAGAAATCAGTAGTATATTTTTAGGTTTTATATTTTGACCACAACAATTTTATATTTTGGTAGGTTTGATTTTTATGTAAAAAATAAATTATAAAAATTATTCCTATAATTTATAGACAAAGTGTAGATTTTTATTTTTACAGAAAACGATGTGTTTAAAATTTTCTTATATTGGCATGTTTTGTCTCTGTATAGAAAATAAATTTTAAAACTATCTTTGTAATTTGTAATTTACAGAATATATCATTGTACAAATTTTCTTAAAGAAATGGTCCATATATTTTAAAAAATTACAACAATGATTCATGCCTAATAGAAAATTATAGAGTACACCCCCACACACATTGAAGTTTATATCACCCTAGTTATTTATTATTTGTTAATATCAAATAGTAATTAACATTATTTTATTTATGTTTTATATTTATTATTACTAATTTGCTTTATATTATTTGTACTTGTTATTATATTTATATTTATATTTTTTTAATGATTACCGTTATTAATATTATTAATTTCCAAAAAGATATTATAAATCTAAATGGTATTATAGCAATTCGGAAGATGGTCTCCACTTAATTGCAATTTCAAGACTATAACAATGAACAACATATATGAATTTATAGATAATTAAATTATAAAATGAAAAAAAATGACATTGTAACCCATCGAACTCTTGACTTGTAGTTTAAAAGGACCCTTAAAGTATTTTTTGACTTTATGAATGCATAAAAGGTGGGTTTTGACCTGTTTATTTGGTCCATCTAACCTAAAATAACCAGTTTCATGTGTCACATAATCAAATAAATTGAAATATGATAGCCACCCTTATCTCTCCACTCTAACACCACCACAACCTACACTACCACTGCCAGGCCACCAATATACACCTTCTGCGATCGTCTCAGCCTCCTGTTCTTCGTCTCGCCATCATAGACCCACCATTAGCTCCTACCAAGACCTTCATCATCCACGATTATCACTATCCCAATATGCAACTTGAAAGAGACTCCAAAGGGAAAGGGATAGTGATTTACTAGTTGTGTTGGGAGGTGGTACATGAGTAATGTTGCTTAATTCCTTATTCCAAAGTACGAGGAAGTCGTGAATAAAATGTTAGCATTTAGGACTAGTTTTATTTCATTCTAAAATTTTGAAATATGCTTGGTGCAAATAAACAACAAATAAACATTATATGTTTACTGAAACCCAAAATGCCCATTCCAAAAATGCCAAGATTTAAGTCATTTTCCTATATCTTCTTAAATTATGTTGTCGTTTTTGTGAATATTCATATATCTTCTACTCAAAATGATATTTTGTGTAACAGGTTCGACTAAAAATGATGAAAGACATAAAATTATGGTTAAATAATTCCACATTTGTTGATCCTTTAACAACATCCTTCTATGATGGCTAGTTGTACTGGTATAATACATAAAAACTACCTTGGAAAATGCTATTTTCCAGATATAAATGTCACAGATCATAAAGATACATCTATGATGTAATCTAGTTTATTCTGAAATAATGCATCTGTTTCAGAAAATGGCATAACTTCTTTGGTTACAAAGACGAGAATGATATGCTTGTTTCTGTTCATGAATATTTAAAATAGCATGATAGACTTAGTGACAAAAAATGGTGTCGTAGATTATAGTGTTGAGATTGGAGTTGGTCTTAGTAAAAATTATTGCATTATTTGGTGAATGTAGGTGTGGGTTGGATTTGTTTACAACTTACTAGATGCGTAGAAACTTGACTTGGAATGTGGAATAGGTTGAAAAATACTTAATAGAGAGCAACTAATGTTAATACTAATATATTATCCTTCAACAAGGACAATGATAAGACTAATAATCAAAATTTGGAGGCTTTTTTCTCTTTTAGCAATGAATAACAAATACATGATTCATTGAGTCAGACTCTAGAAGACGAGTTTTGTTGAAGTTTCTACATCTAAATTTGTAAGAAAGTGCGAAAGTGACAAGTTTTTGCCAAGAACATTTGAAACCACCACTAAAACAGACTGGCACGCTTCAATCTCATCTTCAGAACAACTCACCTTCCATGGCTGCTCAAATGACCTGTACAAAGAATAAATAAAACCAAACCTATC